GACTTCCGCGTCCTGGGTAAAACGATAAACGATATCCGCGTCTTGGGTAAGATGCCTCTGATCAGGTGGTTTTGAGGAGCGTGGAACCACCTCTTAATTGCTGGTGTTCCCAGGTCCACTCTGACCCGGGATGGTAGCACCTGTTAGGGGGTCCCAGCAATGGGCAAATAGTTATCCCCGAAACTGGGGTAAAAACACTATGAAAGTGTAAAAATAGGTTTTAATACCAGAAATATTTTTTGTAAAAAAATTATTACCAGCAATAAATTTTTGAAGAAAAAAAACTATTACAGGCAATAATTTTTTTGAAAAAATTATTACCAGCAATACATTTTTTAGGGAAAAATATTACCAGAAATTGATTTTTGAAGAGAAATTTTTTCCAGAAATAGATTTTTGACAAAACAAAATCAGCAATAAAATTTTTGTCGACATTAAATAACCCACTGAGGTTGATATGCCGTCAACGAGTCAAACTCTCCACAATTCCCTAGCCTTTGTAGCTCTTAATAAATTGTCTTTCTGTTTGTTCTCCTAAACCCTCATCCACCATCCATTTATTTACTCAGGTTGACTAAGTATGTTATGCGTTGTTTTCCAGTCTCTCTTGCTGTCAATCTCTCATGTGAGTATCATATTTTCCAAGTTCTCTTTCCTCATTATATGTCCTAGAAACCTCAACTGTCTCTCCCTGATGTTAATTACAAGTTTCTTTTTTGTTTCCATTATTTCTCACATGTTCGGACTATAGTATCCTCAGCATCCTTCTGTAGTACCACATTTCTGTTGCTCCAGGCCTCTTCCTTATCTTTGTACTCTTTGCCGTACAGATTGTCCAGCACTCACTGCCGTACAGGACGAGAGATATCACGTACTTTTTTTCTTGTTTCTAGCAGAGTTTTTTCTATTTCTTAATACTCTACTTAGCTTTTAGAATGCATCTTTGGCTATCGCAACACGTCCTCAAATTCCAGAATCACACTGTTAAAACACTTCCCAGATACTTGAATCCGTCAAATAATAGCTTGTTGCTTCAATAGTTTGACAAGAGTTGCCCAATCTTCACGTATCAATCTTGTCATTTTTCAAAAGTTTTACGTAGCCTTATGGGTGATGAATTATTTTCTACCTTGCAGTTTCTTCCCCCAATGAGGAAAATTCGCAAACCTATCTCTATTATTTCCATAGCATGTATATCAGACGAAATACAATCGTTATTTTCACCCGTTCGGACATTTCCCTTCATATTCCATAGATAAGGGGGAATTTCTACTCAGAACCGCCCACACAGTGGAACAGATCCCCGAGTGAGTGCGTTCCCTATCACTACAATCTTAACCACGTCAAGTCTATGGTTTGCCGAATTGGTTCATCGTCTCTCATCGCAGGGCCTTTTATCAGACAAGCAATACGGCTTTCGATATTCCAGGTCAAGTGCTGATGTGCTAACGATATTTACGGAACGAGTCTATCGTGCTCTAGATAAAAACGGTAAAGCCGTTGATGGAGCATTGTGTATCTCGAAAGCCTTTGCCAGGGTATGGAATTTAGGACTTCTCCACAAGCTGAAAATTTATGGTATCGCCGGGCACATTTTTGAGTTGATACAATCGTTCCGATCAAATCGTGAAATGAAAGTTGTCCTGAACGGCCACTCGTCTACATTATTTCATACTAACGCAGGTGTCTCCCAGGGCTCGATACTTGGCGGTACACTGTTTTTAATGTCCATTAACCACCATTTTGATCACATCAGCTCTCAACTTGGCATCTATGCTGACAACACCAGCATATACTCCTGCCTTGATAATTAGCCTGATCAGTCCGTTAAATTACAATTTGTGTCCGAAACAACCTCAAGGCAGTTGTTAATTGGAGCAAGAGATGGCTTGTCAATTTCAATGCCTCCTAAATTAAATTTTTCTCCATAAATCATCTGAGTGACCCCTCTCTTTCATCCATCAGAAAGAACAATGCAATCCTACAGGAAAGTGGCTCATTGCGCTTTCTCGAGGTAACATTCTCAGACATGGTGTGGAAAAACTATATCGAATGCATTGCTGGGTCAGCTGCTAAGAAAACCAGTTCACTGTAACGGGTGAGACAATTTTTCTCCGCGGAATATATCTTTTATATCTATAAGTCTATCATTCGCCCATGCTTAGAATATTGCTGCCATATATGGATCGGTTTCCATGCTGTTTAGCTAGAGCTCCTTGTTAGAATCCCCAAAAGTATCAGCACTATTATTAGTCCTGACCTGGCTTCAGTTACTTGCACACAGACATAAGGTGTTTTTTTTTTCTAAATACTTTCATAGTAATTGTTCAAATGAGCCCTTTGGTATAGTACGTAAATTTTATGAATTTAAATGCAGTATATATATATATATATATATATATATATATATATATATATATATATATATATTTTTTATCAAAAAGTCTATCATTCGCCCATGCTTAGAATATTGCTGCCATATATGGATCGGTTCCTGTTGTTTAGATAGAGCCCTTGTTAAAATCCCAAAATGTATCAGCACTATTATAAGTCTTGATCTGGCAGCTCGGCTTCAGTTACTTGCTCATAGCCGTAAGAAGGTGCCCTTTTTATAAATACTTTCATGGTAATTGTTCAGAGTAGCCCTTTGCTATGGTACGGAAATTTTATGAATTTAAATGCAGTATATATATATATATATATATATATATATATATATAAGTCTATCATTTACCCATGCTTAGACTATGGATCGGTTCCCCTGTTGTTTAGCTAGAGCTCCTTGTTAAAATCCCAAAAAAAGCACTATTATCAATCTTGATCTGGTGGCTCGGTATCAGTTATATGCTCACAGCCGTAAGGTGTCCTTTTTATAAATACTTTCATGGTAATTGTTCAGATGCGCCCTTTGCTATGGTACGTAAATTTTATGAATTTAAGTGCAGTACTGGACTGGCGATAAGATCTTATCAATTAATAGTTGAGCTAGCTAGATGTAGCCGTAACTTCTGTATTGACAATTTCCTTTCTCGCCTTTCCCGTCCGGCTCCATGCATTCCAGCCAACTGTAATCTGCAAGAGTATAAATGCTATCTACTGTCCTCCTGATTGCACTTTTCTCTTTCTGCTCCATACTAATGTTTCTGTTCCTAATTCCTCCTCCAGCTGAAAAAAAATAGAAGTAAAATATACCCGTTATGCATGAGAGCTAGCATACTCCAAATATCACTTAAGCTAGCTCTCATGCATAACATTTTGTATTCAAAACATTTTGAATTCTATTTTTTTTTTTTACGCGCACATATTCACAAACACTCAACACCTGAAAATAATCTCGAAAGAGAATGAAAACACTTGGGAAAATAAAAATTATTTGGGAGAAAATTTTGGAATTTTTTTTAATCAATTTTCTACAGCTAGCAAGAAATTAATCCTTAGACTTAAATTTGTAGGTCTGATGAACTGGATCGTATTTACGATTCCAATGGAATAAATTATGACCATGGAATATTAGTGTTTACGCCTTTTTATTATATCCTTACTCTGTCCTGGACATTGAGTTCTACCTGGATTCTTCCTCTTGGAATTTTTATTAAAAAAATATACATGTATGTGTATTTATATATTTTGCATATGTATGTATATTTACCACTAATATTATACATATATATATATATATATATATATAGTTTATGAAAAACTAGGTAATCCGTATGGCTAAAACCTAAGGAGGATAAAATCCAGAGAGCTTAATTAAAGTTCCATGTAATAAATTATTTCATCTTTTAAAGGACTGCGGATCATCAGACTTTACTTACAAACAAAAAATGAAAAGAAAATTTACACATTTTTGACGGGCTGTATTAAACATATGTAAATTAACGAAGTGAGGAAGTGAGGGGGGAGAGAGAGAAGACATGAGTGAGTTAGGAGATATTGACACATTTAAACGGTTAACTTAACGGAAGTTATATATTGATATCGAAGGTGTAGAGAGGAAAAACCCAGAGAGAAAAAGAGAGAAAGAAGTCATGAGAGAAGGTGTCACTAATTTTCTTTGTAAAAAAAATGCCTAGAAACAGACGCTGTTATTTTGTTTGACTTTGAAAGTGTTATTTTGGGGGTTCATAAAGATTATAATGTTTGATATAAATTTGAATGTCTACAAATAATTTAATTTGATGTTTGTTAGTGATTTAATTTTTTTTAAATTTTGGGGATTTTCTATGAAATAGTCTATTAGAAAAATATTCATAGAAAGTACATTAAAAGAATAAAATTTTATTTTAAAATATAAATTAACTTCTTGTAATCTTTTTTTAAATATCTTTAAAAAATTTTATTATTGATTATTAAGTTGACATCTCTATCCGTTTGAATTTTGTTCATGAAAATTAAATCATTAAATTAATATATATATATTTATATATATATATAAGTCAACATTAGAGGCCTCAACACTTGACTTCTATGTTCACTTTTATATTTACACACGCTCTATCTCTGATATTGAGCACTTTATTCCATAAATATAGCACACCTTAAGACTATATATATATATATATATATATATATATATATATATATATGCTAAGAAAGTTGTTTCGCTGCGTCATGCGAGACAGTTGTTCTCTCTAGAATCAATCAGACATATTTATAAGTCTGCTATGCTTAGACTATTGCGGTCACATATGGTCCGGTGTCCCTACTATTTTCCTTGAACTCTTTGATAAAATCCAAAAAATCAGTAAGATTATCGTTCCAGATCTGACGTCTCAGCTTCAGTCATTTTCTCACGTCCCTGTGCATTTTCTATAAATACTTTTATGGTAATTATTCGGATGAGCTCTACGCCATGCTCTCTAGGCTCTATGAATTTAAGCACAGTAATAAGACTGGCGTCAAGATCTCATCAATTTCCAGTTGAACTGCCAATATATAATCATCTCTGAAAACAGTTTCTTTTTTCGCACTTCTTGCTTGTGGAAACGTTTCAAAAATTGAAATGCAATGTCGGTCACTGACTACTGGCCTCCTGCTTATTCCTTTTGTTTCCGCTCATTATTAATGTTTGTTTCTAATTCTTCAGTAACTTCTTGTGTCATAGTGGCTTTACTGCCATTGTGAGTGTGTGTGTGTGTATAAAATAGGATATAGAATTCAGACAAAGTTTTGAAAAAAAATGTAATGTAAAACAGTTTTATTGAAACTATATCTTTTTAGGCTTCATCAGATAAAAAAAATCAAAATTAAAAAAAGAAATATATGTGTGTAATTGTGTGTATGCTTTAATAATAAAACAAACAAAAAAAACCATTAATAACTTTCCCCGTTAAGCGGGAATTTCTCGTGATGAAATAGAAAATGAAACTGAGTAACAATTAAAAAGCCGTATATTTTCATCATAATTATTAGTTCATGTTGAAAGTTACTTATATCATTTATCTATTCTGCCACCTTTTTTGTATTGAATTTCAGGTATGCATATATATATATATATATATATATATATATATATATATATATATATATATATGTGTGTGTGTGTGTGTATGATGTATGATGTGTTTGAGAAGAATAAAAAAGTTTTAGGATTCATGTATTCATCCAAACAAGTTTAATTAAACACACACACACACACACACACACACACACACACACACACACATATATATATATATATATATATATATATATATATATATAGCATTGTAAATTGAGTACTGTTATTACTAGAATAGTGCTCGATGTACAATAAGAGAGCCAGAATTTATTTTAATAATAAATATACATTTACACGATGCAATGCACCTGACGATTGCATAGGATCGTGCTACCGATGTGGAAATATATATATATATATATATATATATATATATATATATATATATATATATATATATATAAGGTCTATTCTTTTCTGACACGTTTCGTTCCTGAGGTACTTTCAGGTTCCAGGGAAAGATATGAAAATGCACACAGGAGACGGACCGTGTTGGTAAAGAACAGATTGCTTTTCTGTCTTTTGTTCATATTGTCTTTAAATCGTTTGGAAAGTTCACATTGACACAATGTTTAATCAATCTATTAACGAAATACAAAAACACATTCACGCTCACACAAGCTAGTCCTGTGTCTGACAATAAACTATATCTGGCAGCAAGGTCTCTGATCGGGAGATGGGAGGTTTTAATTTCTATTGTTCCCATGTTCACCCTGACTGTGCGTGGTAGCACCTGTTAGGATCTCAGATATGGGCAAATAGTGAACACCCACATATAAAAACAAAACAATATGAAAGTAAAAAAACACATATCTATAGTAAAAATTCCAGCAATATATTTTTATCTAAAAAATTAGTATTAATACTTATTTATATTAAAATTACAAAGAATACATATTCAAATTAATTCAATACTCCCATGAAAATAAATTTTCGGCATTAAATGAGTCATATGTCGTTAAACAAACAATTTAATTAACAACATACTATCTTAAAAGCCACCCTATTGGCTGGCATTTAAACTAGCTCCTGTGGAGGACCATTCACTTGGCCTCCAACACAATAGTGATGGAGGAGTAGAAGAGATAGTCAACAATAAACTACAGTAGAACTCAAAGTTGATCGCTGCGTTTAAGTATTGCATTAATATTTAAGCTTACCTTTTAAAAGTTCAACGATAAATCTGCCGCCACTTAATTTAAAGACAATTTGATGTACGTAGGTGATTACTTTCCCTACAAACAATTAGTTTTATTTCATGGGTGAGTTTCGCTGGATTTCTCAATTAATTTTGATTTTTCCCAAATTTATTTCCAAGTTATAAAAATTGTTATCATACAAAAAAAATTGGTATAATATTACGTAAAATAATGCCGAAAACAATCGTATTAATGAAAACTTGCTAATCCAATATTTCAGGATTACCGGTCCGGATTTTTTAATGTGCTCACAGAGTCGACCTGATTCAAAAATGTATGTTGGCGTACGGAAGCTAGGATCAAATTTGGAAACATGGACAATTTTATTTTGAAATACTGTAATTTGAGAACAGTAATTTTTTTTAAAAATTGAACATGAGCTATTGAAAGTTAGAGAGTTGTGTCCTTTTAATTGTTTCTATCAGTAGAAGACAAGATGGCGGAATCTGAAAACAATCGCAATAATAAAAACTAGGGAATTCAAAATTTCAGTATTGCGGGTCAGGGTGGTTTTAATTTACTCAAAAAATCGGCTTATTCCAAAATGGTATATGATCGGCTAAGGCCTCTTGATAATAAAGTTGAAACAGTATGACTCAGTGAAATTCGCATTTATTATATATATATATATATATATTTATATATATATATATATATATATATATATATATATACAGACAAGATGTTGGAATATTTGCGTCCTCCTTTAAAAAGTGTAGTTGAACATTTGTTACCACGTGAACTCAAAGACACAAGACCGATGTTGGTCACTCTTAAGTCTTTTAAGTCATCGTTCTTAAAACGTAAAGGGGCAGCCAACTTAAACATGTCTATTTATTTAAAATGCCATTACTCACTCACTCACTCACACACACACACACACACACACACACATATATATATATATATATATATATATATATATATATATATGTATGTATGTATATATACGTAGACGTTTATTGGATAAAAGTAACATTTTTAAGTGAAAAGTTTAATCCCAGAATAAATTCTCTTCACAGTAAATCTCCTGTTGATTGAACACAACTTACGTGAAACGCAGAGTAAAAATTTTATTTCAATCAAATGTTCTCCAATATCTCTCTCTCTCTCTCTCTCTCTCTCTCTCTCTCTCTCTCTCTCTTCCTACATTTTGAGGTTTCCCTGTTCTAAATGAATCCTTGGTAAGACAGAAAACAGAATCTTTGATGTTTTATTTCTGGTTGATTTGTTTCAATAAAAATAGCGATTAATTAATTAGTTTCTTTTCATGACCTCCTCGTATGAAATACATGCGCGCGCACACACGCACGTATACACACACACACACACACACACACACACACACACATATATATATATATATATATATATATATATATATATATATATATCATGTGATGATGCGTGTTGGAATGTAGGGGCCCGCTTTGCCAAGAAAGAGAGAGAGAGAGAGAGAACTGCTGCTGTGCCGCTGACAGTCAAAAGCCACTCAGTTCAAATGCCACGTTGTCAACGAACGCAGTGAACCGAATAAGAAAATCTTGTCAACAGAAATGACATTCAGTAAAGGTAGATCAGTCGGTTTCTTCCTGGTGGAAACCTGAATGAATGCAACTAAGTTTGCAGCAATCTGTCGATTACTTCTGGATCTGACTTAACAGAGCCAAGTCAAACCGACAGATGGACGACAGAGTTAAGCATTTTCACCTTGAAGATGAAAAATTCTTCTTCTTCATCTTCTTCTTCTTCTTCATATTATTATTATTATTATTATTATTATTGTTGTTGTTACTGTTGTTGTTGTCGTTGTTGCTGATGTATGTTATTCTCAATCAATTTCCACACCCGGTAAATCTTTCGGCTGTCCCTGGAGAGCAAGTCTCTTCAATACATCTACACGTTCTTATTATTTTAATTGTTTTTATTTAATAATCGCTTTCTTGAGTTTATGTTTTTTGCCGTATCCTCCTCTTGCTCCTTATCCATACTCTTCTTCTTCTTCTTCTTCTTCTCTTTGATCGCGTTGAAACTTCCTACTATCACTGAAGTTAAGCAGCGTTGAACCTGGTCATTACCTAGATGAGTGACCGCTTGAGAATACCAGGTGCTGTAAGCGTGGATTTGCGGGGATGTAATGGATAACGGCTCGGAATTCGAAATCGGGTTCGTTACGCGCAAACACTCATGGGAAAGGTGTGATTCCATCTCTTCCAATCCAAGTATAAGTTAATCAGTAGAACTTGTATCAGTAAAAATCATTATTATCTCGAAAAAAATCTTACAATATAAAAAGATAAAGGACGACAGAAATAGCTCCCATATATACCTCCCATATACCTCCCACATATACCTCCCGCATATACCTCCCGCATATACCTCCCGCATATACCTCCTGCATATACCTCCAACATATATCTCCCGCATATACGTCCCGCATATACCTCCCACATATACCTCCCGCATATACCTCACGCATATACCTCCAACATATACCTCCCACATATACCTCCCGCATATACCTCCCACATATACCTCCCATATACCCTGCATATACCTCCCACATATAGCTCCCTGCATATACCTCCCACATATACCTCCAGCATATACCTCCAACATATACCTCCCACATATATACCTCCCTGCATATATATCCCCACATATACCTCCAGCATATACCTCCACATATACCTCCCATATACCTCCTCCCATATACCTCCCACATATACCTCCCACATATACCTCCCGCATATACCTCCCACATATACCTCCCGCATATACCTCCCACATATACCTCCCACATATACCTCCAACATATACCTCCCACATATACCTCCCGCATATACCTCCCGCATATACGTCCCGCATATACCTCCAGCATATACCTCCCACATATACTTCCCACATATACCTCCAGCATATACCTCCCACATATACCTCCCACATACACCTCCCACATATACCTCCCACATATACCTCCCACATATACTTCCCGCATAATGGTATGGCATCAGGTACAGGATACGGCAGATACCTCCCACATTTTAAATTGTCTGGTGCTAGTGAACTTAAGCAAGTGGCAATGACGACTTCATCTTACCGTTTCGTAGAAGGTATTTCACATGTACCCTGTAGTGGAATGTATTTCCGGGAAGTATGTGTTGGAGATATTTCTGCTGCATTCTGATTTATCTGGCTTTAAATAAACTGCAAGTGGGTGATAAACCGTAAAAAATCCATGAATCAACTTCCTTCCTAATTTTTGTCTTCTTTATTCCTTCTTTCCTTAGGCGTAATAAATACTATTTCATCCGTCGTTTTCTTCCACTTAACTATCACTTCATTTTTGTTTTCTTTTCTTTTCTTTTTTTACATTCTCCGTCTTTCTTAGCTTCTATATATTGTTCTGTTCAACATAATTAACGCTTTTTCCGTCATTAATTAGTGTACTCTAAAGTATTATCCCTTCTTCTTCTTCTTCTTCTTCTTCTTCTTCTTCTTCTTAGCCGTTATACAATTTCGTTAGCATTCTTCTCTCACTTTCACTTTCACTTTCTTTAATTATACTCTTAAATTTTACACTTTCATCTTCTGCTTCTTCTTCTCTTTCTTGTCCATTATACAATTTCGTTAGAATTCTCTCACTTTCACTTTCTTTAATTATCCTCTTAAACTTTATACTTTCTTCTTCTTCCTCTTCTTCATCATCATCATCATCATCATCATCTTCTTCTTTACTATCTTTCTTTCTTAGCCGTTATACAATTTCTTTAGAATTCTTCTCACTTTCGCTTTCACTTTCTTTAATTATATGCTTAAGCTTTTCACTTTCATCATCTTCTTCGTCATCATATTTTTCATTAATATTTTTTACCCAATGTAATTTCTAACTGCCATTCCATGTAGGACTCTACTAAATGGTAATGCCCTAAGAGCTAAGATTATATTGATAATAGAAGTACACGTTATGGTGTCCTTTCCACATTGCAACAGTTCTGGAGAAGAGGTTATCTAAGTGGAGCTAAGTTCTTACCAAAGGAATGCAAAGGAAAAGGGGATGCGTCGACTCAGTGCATATGGTATGGTGGGTACGATCTGTGAAGTTTTGAAATGGTAGAACCAGGAAGTGTAATTCAACCGAATATCTGTCATAAAAACAGCGATAGGGCAGGGAGAGTCTTGCAACATTTTGTCCGTGAGAAAGGCGTTGAAGGGGATGGAGAACAATTCGTCATCCACAAGCTCTCATACAGACGTTTGAACTCTGGGGGATAGAAGGTGTGAATTAGGCAGCAATACTCCATCTTTGGGATATTTTTGATCATTTGGGTGTGGGAGATGAGTGACCTCTGTAGAAAACTTTCATCATTACCTCTTGTAATACCCGTACCCCCCCCCAAAAAAAGACCTAAAAAAAAATAAAATAAAAAGCACTATTAGGAGTAATTGCCAAAAATCAAGGACGTAACTATGTTCAAAATCACGGCATTTGAATTTAAGAAACAAGAGTACAAAAGTTGTATCCGTCCTAAGAAATAAAAAACCCTGTTGTGGATTCCGGGATGAGACCCGGTACCAATAAATAACAAACGCCAAGAAGGAATATAGGAAAATAAATGTATTAATATAATAATACAAACTGGTAATGCAGGTTAGTAGTTCCATGAATACGGGTTAGTAGCAAAATATATATACAATCTTTGGTATTGAAGTATCGCTGTATGATTTCTTACTGAGTCTACGTGCTCGCTCACGGTGACTCTTGCTGGCTATGTTCGTTCTGTCTGTCTGTTACCTTACTCTCACTCTTCCAGTTACCTACAACTTTTCACCCCTCCTCCTCATATTGTCTGTGGGTCTTCACGTAGCAGTAGTATATGTATATACTGCGTGAGTCCATTTGTCTAAAAAAGGGAGGACCCCTCAACAAACACAAAGAGGGTTTTTGAGATGCAGATATTTGATTTCGTGATTCCATTTAATCGGGGGAGTGAAAAGTGATTGAACAATTGAATAAATATGTGGATCTCGCCGGGGAGTAGAATAAATTACGACCTATGAATATCACAACTATACCATCCGTGCGTTGGCATCCGATCTATAAATATATATTTTTTTTTTACTTTAATTAACCAGTAATAGGTAAAAAACGAATCAATCGACCGAAGGATTTCTCGAGAAAAACGGTATGTACGCCATTCTGTCTCTTTTTTCCAGTAACTTTCAATTCTTAAACGATTTAATTTTTATTCACCTTTTCCAATTTTTAACTGCAGACTTTCTAAATGATACTCGACGCGTTAGTACAATGTCATTACGGTAAACATCATCCAGCAGCGAGGCGTCTGATTGAGACATTGAAGGTCGCAAGGAGCGTAAAACCACCTCTTAATTGCTGTTGTTCCATGGTCTAATCTAACCCGGGGTGGTAGCACTTGTTGTAAGGGGAAGGGGCTCTCGGCTCTGGGAAAATAATGAACCCCCTACCAAGACAGAACGCTATGATGTTTAGAAATACATTACCGTAGCAAAAAAGCAGCAATATATTTTTGTAGTAAAAATGTATTACATAGTAAAAACACCGGTAATAAATTTTATAACAAAAATACTAGCAATACATTTTCTTATAGAAAATGAACAGCATTACATTTTATCTATAGTTGCAGGCCTAAAATTGTATAAAAAATATTTAAATTCCGGCATTAAATAACACATAGAGATAGATATGCCGCTAAAAACATCAACCAAAGAACCAAATTTGAAAAGACACGACATAAATCCATGAATATATCCTACAATTTCATAACTAAATGAAACTGTATTCAAAAATATAATTTTAACAAAACGACAACAAAAAACACATATCATTGCCTCTAGTGATGATGTCTTCCCAAACATATACATAGACAAAACCTGAGTCAGGCACCTGCAGGTTGTGTTATGGTTAACAAGCTTGTCTCGCTAGAACAATTACGACTGACTAGTGAATTTGATTCTCACTGGGTGCCTCCTACTTTCGGCCTTGTGCAAACATCTAAGCTATGCTTGGAAAATCACTATATATATGGTTGGGCACCTCGAGGCGGTGTAATGGTTAGCAAGCTTGCCTCGCTAGAACAATTACGACTGAGTAGTGAGTTGGATTCTTGCTGGGTGCTCCTTACTTTCGGCCTTGTGCTACATCTAAACTACGCTTGGAAAATCTATATATGGTTGGTCACCTCGAAGCGGTGTAATGTTAGCAAGCTTGCCTCGCTAGAACAATTACGACTGACTAGTGAATTTGATTCTCACTGAGTGCCTCCTACTTTCGGCCTTGTGCAAACATCTAAGCTACGCTTGGAAAATCACTGTGTATATGGTTGGGCACCTCGAGGCGGTGTCATGGCAAGCAGGCATGTCTCGCTAGAAAAATTATGACTGAGTAGTGAGTTTGATTCTTACTGGGTGCTCCTTACTTTCGGCCTTGTGCTACATCTAAACTACGCTTGGAAAATCTATATATGGTTGGTCACCTCGAAGCGGTGTAATGTTAGCAAGCTTGCCTCGCTAGAACAATTACGACTGACTAGTGAATTTGATTCTCACTGGGTGCCTCTTACTTTTGGCCTTGTGCAAACATCTAAGCTGCGTTTGGAAAATCGCTATACGAAACCTGAATGTCATCTCACATGTATTCAACTGTCAAAGCAGAATAACGTATTTTTATTACTTCAAAACTCCCAAGAAAATTAAATTTCGGCATTAAATGACCCATAAGGTGTTGATGTGCCGTTATCAAATAAATCAGTCGATACTCTTAAAAGATTCATACCAGCTACTCATTTTCGTCTCTTTCATTCATTCCTCTTATTTAACGGTTTCTATTTTTATACACATCCTATTCCCTCTTGTTCCGTTTTTCCTTACTCTTCAAAGAGCCGTCCTTTCTATTCACATGTCCTTCCCCAAATCATTCATCAGCACTTTCTTCTTCGAACACAAATCGAATCGTCTTCTATTTTCTAACCTTTCCATGGTCACCTTGCCTTTCTGATCTTAATTTTAAACCGTGCTTCTCTTGCACTTTCATATCTTGTCCTCACCTTCTCCATTTTCGTATTTATTTATCATAATCGCTAGAGTATCAACAGCTGCCCCCATTGCAACGACAAGCAGACCCATTCCAGGCATGAGATCCTTTTCGGGTCATTCTCTTTTCTATCTTTTTTCGTTCTGTTTAACGCGTGTCTTTCTGCTATTCATACGCCATGCGATTACGTGAACCTAAACGTGACTGCCTAAACAAAACCCTTTCAACCTAACCGGGTCTTTTGAACGGGAGACGCGGGGTTTTAAAATCGCTTGAAATAAAGGAAGCCAAAAAAAGAGAAAAGAACGATTTACAGAAAAACTGGAAAAGAGAACCCAGAGATAGAAGCAATAGCACCTTTGGTGGTAAGGTCACTAAGTAGAATGGATGAGGATAGATGAAGATAACAATGATAATTGGCACTGTGCAGGATAGTTTTATCTATCTATCTATCTATCTATCTATCTATCTATCTATCTATCTATCTATCTATCTATCTCATTGTGTTCATTTCGTTGATTGTTTGCTTCTTCCTATCTTTGTTTCTTAATCTATCTATCTATCTATCTATCTATCTATCTATCTATCTATCTATCTATTTCAGTTTGTTTCTTGTCTATCTATCCAACTATCTATGTGACTAGCTAGCTCTATCATTCTGATCATTGCTATTTTTTTTCTTAGTCTATTCATATCTATCTATCTATCTATCTATCTATCTATCTATCTATCTATCTATCTATCTATTTCATTGTGTTCATTTCGTTGATTGTTTGCTTCTTTCTTTCTTTCTTTCTTTCTTTCTTTGTTTATTAATCTATCTATCTATCTATCTATCTATCTATCTATCTATAAAACCAAAAGGGAATATCTTGTAAAATGCCACCATGAAAAATGCAAATATACATACAAACCAATACTTTACATTAAATAAGATATCCAACTCCACGAATAAAAAAAAATATGCAGAAAAATCTAAATAATTAAACGTAAGTAGATAATAAACAAATTAATAAGCCCATGTAATTGCAATAATAATAATAATAATAATAATAATAATAATAATAATAAAATTAATAAACAAATAATTATGAAATCAATAACAAATAAGTAAAATGTTAATAAATAAGCGTATTCGGATCTGCAATTACTTCTACTCCATAGTCTCTAGAATAATTTGAAATATATGTGTTACTCTACACCCAATAACCGTTAGAATAATTCAA